ATGCAGCCAAACTTGCTAAGTGCTGCAATTGCAAGTTTGCAGCAGCAGCAGTCCTTGGCTTGAGCATTCTACGGCATCGATGCTGAAACATAAGTCAAGTGATGTTGCACAAGCAATAAATTTTGCTTAGAGTCGTCGGACCGTCAGCTGAACTTGCCGATTCACTAGCGCTGGCTTGTTCTGAGCTTTCTTCTTCGCTTGATTCTTGGCGCGAAGAGGAGCTGACAACCTTCACACGCCACCATCCCTTGGGGGCTGCAGCGCCTCGACGGCCCCGACGTGGTGGGCTGCGGCTGCGGCTAGAACTGTTGCCATCCACCGCCCATGTGCTCAAGCGAGGCATGTGTCACATGACAGCGAACTTTCAGCAATGACTGTTTCATGGGGGCTGATTGGTTCCTCAGACCGTTCGGATAACTTCTTCATGATCATGTCATTCAATGAATCTTGACAATCAGCAGCAACAGCAGCAAACACTCACGCGCACTAGCAAACAAGCCAACATGCACTGCCTGAAACATAACAGCTCACAGCAACGCTGGCAGCCTGACTGCGAATGCTTGTGGCGGTCGTAGTGCTTGTCCACGTGCTCGATAAACTCGTCGGGCGCCCGCATAAGATTGAGAAGAAGACTCTTCTTTTTCGTGTCCACTTTGAACTTCCTGGCCACCCCTTTGTTGTAAGCGGCGATGCACGCAGCCAGGGCTTCCCGGAGCGGCAACCCACGTTTTGAGACCCTGGCGTGCTCAACTGCTTCTTTGAACGTATCCAGCATGTCGAGCGCCGAGGGCACTTGTTTCTCGGACGTTTCATTGCCAATTCCTTGCAGCAGGTCGACAAGCGCTCTGTCGTGCTCTTGCGCTGTTTGCGATAGGTGCAAGCAAGAAACTCAATGCGTCGTAGCAGAATTGTGCTGGGTCGTCGTGGTGGTGGTAGTTGGCTTTCATGAACTTCAACGATTGTAGCAGAGGAAGCAGCTCTGGGGAGTTCAGCTCATCATCCGGGATAGCCTAACGAATTCAGAGAGTTGAACATTTCCATCATGCAGGACTGAGATTACGTAAACATTGATTGACAAGTAGCCATCTGGTCCACGATGGCCACGATCAGTTGCCCAATCAAGCCTTTCGTGAAGCCATCTACGTATTTCACTTCAAAGTTCTCCAGGGCTCTGTGAGGCTTGTCGCAGGCAGGAAATCTGACCAGCAAGGGTTCCCTGAAGGGATCGAAGTTGTTCTTGACAATGCTCTCGAAGTGAACTGATAACGTAGTTGTCGGCGGAAAATCTGACGGCAAGGCTTTCATGCTGCATACAGATCTCACAAACATGCACTGGGCGAAAAACATAAACGGACACACACAACTGCCTGACACAACCACAAGTCACACAAGCAGCTGTGAACCCATGACAAGTGACGTGCTGTCTTGGCAAGGCGGCTGAAGTCCAACTGTTTCAATGACAACTTCACATCATTGACTGTCTTGTTGGGAACTAACGTCAGAAGTGTCGGAGTCTCTCCAGGGCGGTCCGCGACGATACGGTCAATCGCCTGGGTGAGCAGCGCTGTCGGCCCGGCACACAGCTACGGTTGCCTTCGGGAAGCCTTGGCCATCTTCTCCTTGTCATAGTTGCAATTGAGCCATTCGCCCGCATTGTCTTGCTTGCTCACCTTCAAGTTCAAGCTAGGGCTGAAGAACTTCAGACAGAAGCTCTGAATCAGAACCTTTCAATCACACACAAATGGCCTCGGTGAAAAAGTGCAGAATCTGCTCTCGCACTGACAGCTTCTCTTCGCCAACAGCTGCCATGGCCGCTCCCCGCCCCCCCGGTTGACGGCTAAATGGTCTTTGCAACAGGAACACAACAAATTCAAAGCTTTCAACTCATGCAAAGCACACGGCGCAGGGGCACTCGGCAGGGCACTCAGCCAACATGTCCTGGCAAAGAAGTGGTGCAGCAAGCCAGAGTCAGATAAAGGCATGTCCTCGTCATCCACTTTTGGCTTGCAGGACCGATGGATCGACAGCCTTGCGCGTTGCAACAGGCAATCAACCTGGTCAGAAATGTTCATTTGCTAGCCAAGTCACGGTGATAGCAGCTGCAATAGCAACTGCTATGGCTCGCAAGTGCATACTGTTGCCAGCAAGACTGTGCAGTTCCTTAGTTTTTTGGCGAGAAACCTGGAGTCGGCCCAAAGAACTTCGCAGACAAGGCTCCCGTTCGCTGTTTCGACTGAGATCGAGCCGATGAAGAGGAAATCCCATCTGAAGCATTTTCTCAGCTCCTGCTCCAGGACCAAACGAGACAGGTCTCAGAGGAACTTTGCAAGACTAAGAGACTGACCTGTCATGAAGCGAGAGTGCTTGGATAGGAAGTAGTCCCCGCCAGGTGTGACACACACGAAGGGCCTTCAACATATAGTAGAACAAAGCTTGACAGCACATGCAACCAAAAGCCACAACTGGGCTGAGACCTGCACCCACCGGGCAAAACCACCGGCATTCTGCCCAAGTTCTGGCTGGCGTCAGCCACTTGCCACTTGGGCTTCAAATGGCTCAACACTGCAAATGCCTGGCAAGCAGTTCCGAAGCGGTGGTTGGAATGCAGACTGGCAAATATTTGCTACACCTGCCTGCTGCAACCTTGGCAAGTGTACCGCTGGGCAGTTTGACCACACTGGTTTGACATCAGCCGGGGAAATCTGCACGGTGCAGAAACACATTTGACCATCATCATGAATCATTTGATGGGCTACGCTAAGAGCCTTCATGCGCTTCATGAACTTCCAATGGCGTAAGCGCCACTTGGGATCCCCGCTCTGTGGCCTGTCATGAGGTCCGAAATGAGGGCTACATCAGTGTGCATTTCAGACCAGCCTTGAGTTCATGTTGTACTTCTTCTTGCCCCTGTGATTCTTCTCGCTGCGTTTTTGCATGCACTCCATCACATACTTCGACTTTGTCGGGAGCAAGAGATCAGACCTCGAATTGGCAAGGCATGATCCAAGTTCAAAACCAGCATGTCATGACAGTGACAGGACAATAGTCGAGGATCTGACCATGGCCTCTCGCATTTCGACGACGTCATCGTCTCGATCGTATCGAGAACATGCTGTTGCAGCGTGCCGTCAATCTTCAGAAAGCGTTTCAGCACCATGATAATGTATACTCTCCGTCGCGAGCCATCTGCACCGTGGTTGTACCTTGGCTGCTCTTCTCAACCCTAAGCTGGATTTTGCCGTTACCACATGTCTGAGTCAAGCACGGGTCGATCTCGACCACAGCGATGACGTAAGGACCGCAGGATCGCAACTCCTGCAAGACTTCTTTCAGCACCCTGTACAGGCCCATGACATTCTCCAAAATGCACACCTTGGCATCGTTGAAAATTTATTCACGTCAACATCCACCGTGCTGCCATCATCCCATCATCACACTGTGCTCAGCTTCAAACCTTTGGCTGTGTTGTCTTAATCGTGTCTTTCACCATGAAGAACTGTTTCGCTTGCTCGTCGTCCATCCATGCGCTCTCAACTCGAAGAGCAGAAAAAGCTTTGCAAGGAAAGCCAGCTACATAAAGCCCGACCTGCCAAGTTCATTCTGAAGTAAAATCCATAACCGAGCACATTAATAAACTATTTCTTGCCCAATGGAGCACATTGCCTTGCCAGCCAGTGTCTTAACATCTCGGTCGGCAAGGTTGTCGTAAAACCTGTCAGCGTCAGGCCCGACTTTTGGCTGAATGATATGATCAGGCACGGCCGGCCTTTCAGGGTTGAAATTTGCTCTGATCCATCTTTGAGGCCCACGGGCATTGTCACACGAAGACCTGACTGCACAACATTGGGGATTTATGATGGTCAAATTTTGTCTTTGAGCCGTCGAGCCGCAAATGTCTCACCATGTTGGACATGTCTGCCCCGGCCAAGAGCATGTCCAATGCCATTACTGGCGCTTCGGCTCCACTGCCTTGCAGGAAAGACACACATGAGAGTTGTCATTTTGCACATAGTTGCCTTCAAGAAGATCTGAGTTCTAAGCAGTCGGTCATCAGCCCAATCGGCCCTCGCAATTTCTTCTTCATATTCGCCAGGCCTGACAAAAGACACACATTGTCATAAAGTGATAAGCCAAGCGCTGTACCACAGTCTGGCTCAAGCAAGCCTGCAGCCTTTGCAAAAGCACTGCCGAACTCCAAGTGCTGCCGCTGACCAGCATTCAACGTGATATTTCCAGCGCTGGGAAGCCTAAGTGTGCCCAGCCTACACACAACTCAGTGTCAAGTCAAATTTATAACAGTCCAGGTAAGGTCGAAGCATCACGTCTTCAAATTCTTCATCAGTCTCAGAAGATTCACATGAAACCTGACACACACACACACACACTTTGTCTTCTAGACAATAATGGCTTGGCATGATCGTCCGGGCCTCCATAATGTCGCTGTCACTGTCTGATAGCACAACGACGGCCATCGGCTCACTGGCACATGTCCAAGATGGCACGTCTGGCTGATCTGAGTCTGACTGTTGTCTAAAACTTCATGATGACAACGCGCAACCTTCAGCATCGGAGCAGCAAAGGTCTGCAGAGTCTGCAAATCATGACAGGCAACTCAGCAAGCACAGCTCACAAAACACACACACTGGCAACCAATTCCGCGGCTAGCCCGCCGGAGTTAATAGAAGCTCCGCGGCTAGCCCGCAGGAGCTTTAGAATACAAGCGAAACACACAACAGGATTAAGATGATGATTAATAAGTAACTAGCCCAATCATCATGATTCGGATACCAGACATCCGGTTAGCTTTTGGAAGACATCTAGTTTCGGCCGTGCCGGCATAGTAGATAGATATGCTTTTTTTTTTATGAGAGCCCAAAGAGACCCGAATGGACAGAACGACCCACTTGTCTACAAGGGAGCCTTGGTATGGATAAGGTAGTGTGTGGAAGTGTATGGAGGTCTTAGGAAGGAGACGTAGGATTAGGGCGCCCTTGATTAAGGCTGCTGACTTCGTCCCAATTCTGGTCGTGTTTGCTATTGTGGCTGTAGCATTCTTCGTGATCTGTTGGAATATGTCTGCCGACAAATCGATCTTCAGCAGCGATTTCGCGACGATCGTGGCGACGCTTGCCATTTTCATGACCACCACGCAGGCGTTGGGAGCCATTGCAGACCTCCTCACTGTGCACGGCGACACATTTCATTTCCTGTTGATGACTTTGAAGTACTTGAGCTTTAGCCCGCAGCTGCTTAAAGCAGATTGCGTGTTACAGAGCAATGACCCAGCACTTTCGTACTTGGTCTACTTGCTCATTCTTCCCTGCATGGTTGCGGCCATTGCAGTAGCAGGGAAGATCCGTGAGAAGCTGCGCGGGGCGCTGCGCTGGGCCACAGTCTTCAGCCATCAGGGCTCTGTGGTGTTGGTGATGTACCTGGCATCGGCTCGCGCAGCAGTTCTTCCACTACAGTGCGCGACGAATCCGGATGGCTCTTCATCAGTGCTGAGCTACAGGTCGGTGATCTGTTGGGAATCGCCGAATCACTTTGTCATGGTTGCCTTGGCAGCTGTTGGCATGTGCATCTTCACATGTGCACCTTTGGCTGCCGTGTCCTGGGCGGCCTGGGTCTATCCCACACGCATTCAGAGCCCCGGTGGAACGGAGTTTCTGGAGAGGTGGCGATTTGCTTTTGACCGCTTCTCCATTGAGAACTATGGCTACGCCGTGGTGTATTTGTTCCGGAACTTTTTGATCGCTTTGACGCCCGTGGTCTTTACCAACAGCCAGCACCTCCAGGTGTTGCTCCTTGCCCTGGTGATCGTCTTCTGCCTCGCTGTCCAGGTCCGCCTTATGCCCTGGCGCACACAAGTCTCCAACCTTGTGGATGCCTTGGCATCGATCTCCGTCTGCATCTTACTGATTGGCAGTTCCATGCTCTTGCTGTTGACTTCAGAAGGCACCGCGTTGCTTCAGACTTGGGTTCTCTTGCAGCTGGTGGCCACTCTCTCCATCTTTGCCGCTATCCTCTTTATGCAGCTCCGGCGCAAGTTGAGCCGCAAAAGGCAGTATCACGTCTTCATCAGCCACCACAAAAATGGCGCAGCTGCATTGGCCCGATGGTTCAAGACCTGCATGCTCACCGAGAAGGGGCTAAAGATCTTCCTGGACTCCGATGACCTCTTGAGCGTCGATGTGCTTTTTGACATCGTCGCGCACCAGACCCGGAACTTGGTGTTGCTTCTTACCAAAGACTTCTTCTCAAGGCCGTGGTGTGTTGGCGAGCTCGTGAGTGCTATCCAGTCCAAAGTGCCAGTCGTATGTGTGAGATGCCATGACTGTGACGTTATCAACACCGACCTGCTTGTGGAGCAGTTGAAGAGCATGTGGAAAGAGTCGCACAAGGTGCTCTTGGCAAGCTTGGGCATCTCGACTGATCTTGTTGCCAAAGCCATTGCCCACCTGCAACACCAGATCATACCCGTTCTGGAGCTTGATCGGTCGGCCCTGGAGGAGGACCAGGTCAAAGTGGTGTCCGCCACACTCCAGGCTTGTAAATTGAACGCCTTCTTGGGCATTCCTGGCAAACACAGAGGCAAGTCTATCTTGGCAACAGGGCCCGTTGCACACACCCGAATCGTCTTGATCTCCTCATGGCAAGACGAAGCGCGAACCTGCTGCTTTCTGGTGCGGCGGAAGCTGATGTCTCTCATGCACATTGGGGTCGAGGTCACAGAGGAGAGTCAGCTGCACCTTCTGGGTGACCGAACCCTGATGCCCCAGTTGAGCTTGCTCGTCGTACTGCTCACGCAGGGAGTGTTGGCGGATCCCTTCGTGGCCAACGCCTTGCTCCTGGCAGGAAACTTACTTTGCCTTTAGTTGAACTTTCAACTTCTTGGGTTTCCTTATTTAGTAGGAATATTAAAGTTTAACCTTTTTCTGCTTGGTTATTGGAGAAGCAAGGAAAGACGCATGCCGAGATCAGCTTTGTCCCGTTGATTGCAGACGGCAACTTCTCCTTTCCGGATCCCATGTACTGGGGAAGACTGACGTCAGGCAGATGGGCTCAGGGTTTAGGGTTGAGGGTTTAGGGTTTAGGGTTTACTGTGCACAGGCCTGGCTGACATGCGTGTGAGATGGGTTGCTGTATGATGAAGTATGGTAGCTATGGGTAGTTCCACGACATGCGATCCCATAGCCACCCCTTCCCTTCCCTACTCAGACTCCCTAAATTCCTAGTCCCCCAAAACAACCCTGGAGAACAGCGTGTTTCTGATCTGAGGCAGGCTGATTCCAGCTTCGCAGCTTCTGCCAGGACACACGCCGCTGGGCCTGAAGTTCGTGAACCCCCGGCTGTCTCAATTCCCACCAATTCTTGCGCCCTAAACCCTAAACCCTGAACCCTAAACCCTAAACCCTGGAGCATGGCATGATATGCCATAGCTTGAGCTTGAGATGACGGAACCTTGTGCCCTAAACCCTGAACCCAAGCCCTAAACCTAAACCCTAAACCCAGGAGCATGACTCCCCAAAATGCCAACCAAGCCCGGGGCTCTGCCTCTGAGCGCCTCATGAGGCGTATGGGCCACCCCGAAACCGTAAACTCTAAACTCAAAGGGTAGCTACATGGTCCCTTAGCATGGGCCCTTAAAGGGGTACCCCTTATATGCCCCTTATATACCCATCTACAAACCGAAGGGCCGAAATACGTCAGAAGCCTTTAGAGGAGGGGCCATATTCATAAAAGACCCATGCAACTACCACCCCAAAATAGAACCTGAAAGCCAGGTTGGAGGATGTTCAGAGTGCTTACCAGCAGCTCCTGAAGATCATTGCCATCCGCCTGTCCATCCAGGCTCCCCCCACAACCCCCCCCCCCCTCTCCAACTCCCAGTGCCTTTGTTTAATATATAGCATTCCGGCGTGCACCTCATGAGTTCGCGTGCCGTCTTTCGACTTGGGGGGATCGTTTTGTTGGCTCCCTTGGAGCGCCTTCGCGGTGCGGAATGCCTTTGGAGCCTATAGATGGTTATCAATTGGGATGTTCCCTGTTGCACGAACAGTCCTTAATGGGGATTATAGTAGGGGGTACTGCAATCCCTATTGGTCGGTTTCTTTCTTGCAGTTCTTGATGGAACTCCGTCGTGCCAGCAGATTGCAAGAGTCTAGCTTCAAATGGGTTGTGGCATGTTCTTTTTGCTGATTCCAAAGCAGTCTCTGGACTCTTTGTCGAATGATTTTTTTCGGTTTTTGGTACGCTGCCAGCGATGGTTTTTGCTTCTTTTGTCACCTGCAGGGAATCCCAAAGTGCCTTCGAGGGATGTCCTGTCTTTGCACCGGGGCCTTTCCCAACATGTTCCCAATATGTCCACCCCAGTCCAAGGCATATCCCGAAACCCCAAACCCCAAACCCCAAACCCTAAACCCTAAACCCTAAACCCTAAACCCTAAACCCTGAACCCTGAACCCTGAACCCTAAACCCTGAACCCTAAACCCTCAACCCTAAACCCTAAACCCTAAACCCTAAACCCTAAACCCTAAACCCTAAACCCTAAACCCTAAACCCAGCCATGCCACCCGTTCAGGCTTCTGAGGCCATGCAGCACGCGGAGCTCCAGGACAAACGTCGCGGGGCCCTGTCTTTTGCTTCATTCGGGTTTAGGGTTTAGGGTTTTGGGTTTAGGGTTTAGAGTTTAGGGATTAGGGTTTGGGGTTTGGGGTTTAGGGTTTAAGCAAGCGTTGCTGGCGGATTGGCCTCTCATGTATATCCAGCGTCCCAGAAAAGGGTGTGAACTGGTTCCAGACCACACTGAACCTGCGCAGACTGCTGCGCAACGCTACTTGTTAGACAGAGAGTCACAGAACATACAAGACTGAGACTGACCTTGCTGAGGGCACGAACTGCCTGTGTTGAGAAGGCTGTTTGACCGAAAATGAGGAATTCGCGAGGCTCCGGCAATTAAGGAATGGTCTCGGCAGATGGGTTTAGCGTTTAGGGCTTAGGGTTTTAGGGTTTTCGTTCCAAAGGGAGAAGCTACAAGCCAGAAGAAGCTGCGCATGCTGTTGGATGAGCATGTCGGTGGCTGGAGTTTTCGCCCAAGCAGACACCGAGACGTGAAAGTATTCAAGCGACTGACCGTGCCGCGAGAGCGACTGCGGGTCAAAGATGTTTTTCCAGGACCCAGAATAGGCCCGGCCCTTGTTCCCTTTCTGGGAAGGCTTAGGTTCCCTTATAAACCTTGCTGAAGCCAAACAGGGCGCCCTTTCTATTCCTAGGTTGCTCTTGGGCCTAGTTTTGAGAATGGTTTCGAGATTCGAAACCTGAGGCGCAAGTTGTACTTTTCCATGTTTGCCGTTTAGGTTTGGATGAAGAGAACCGCAAGGGTGGCCGGGGGCATGCAGGGAGAGAGCTTGAGGGAAAGACAAGGGATCAGAGAGGGAGAGGGAAAGGGCGAGGGAGAGGGAAAGGGAAGGGAGCTGCGAGGAAACCACAGGAAAAGTCAGATGCCACCAGGCGCGCACGCGACGCCAGAGAAGGGCAGTGCGTGCTTGTGGTTCGGCCTTCCCGGAATTCGTAAGTGAAGCGTGTTGTCGCAGGAGGGCAGCCGGAAGTTGCGTGTGATCCTCGCTGGTAAGGACCGGATCAAGTCCACTCGCGACTACGATCCGGTCATGTGCACAAAGATGACATTGTAAGGAGGGCTGAGAGTCGAGGTTCGCAATTTGTTCATGCCGTGCTCTTCCACTTCACACCCCTCCTCTAGTACTAGAGAGGCTTGAGAGTAATCATTTCCCCAGCCACAAGTCATCACACATCTTCTTTCAGTTCAAGCACAGAAGACCAAGTTCCAGCATCTTTTCCATGTTGCTTGATGTTGGGACAATGAGTTGGAGGCCGTCGGGACAAATCTCTTGTTGCCACCAAGTGGCACTCAACAGAAGTGTCGACCCATCATCAAAGCATTGCAAGAGAATCTTCCTCAGGCGGGTGCAAAGACGAGGCCCCTCCAATCTTGCAAAGTGCTTCCTCATGTTTTAGGGTTTAGGGTTTAGGGTTTGGGGTTTAGGGTTTAGGGTTTAGGATTGTTTAGGGTTTAGGGTTTAGGGGTACTACCGGTCGACTCCCGGCCCTTCTCGAAGCGCGGCCGCGAAGATCTTCCTCTCTGGGTGCTCAAAGAGCACATCGACGAACCTGCCGCGTTCCCTCGTCATTCTCGGAATCGTCGGCCCTCAGAAGTGGGGGTACTCGGCGGGCAGAAGTCCATTCTTAGATATTCTTAGCATTTTGTACAGTTGGGTGCTGGCACCTGCTTGTTTGAAGCGTGTTACACCTGATGGGGAGCCACGCAGACCGACGCCAAAATGTACTGCAGCTGTCGGCAAGAGTTCACGCGGATCTGCATACTTTATACTCTAAGTGACCACAAGTTAGACCTTTCTGTTCTTTCTTGCATGCTTACATGATTTTTGTGGCAATAGCTGCTAGGACCACTCGACGTTTTCGGAAGTTGGGTGTGTTCCAGGAACATTCAGTGCAAAGAGGGGCAAGCCCATAAAGGGCGATTCACAATCAAGACCACAATAGCTTACCAACCCTCACCCTAAACCCTAAACCCTAAACCCTAAACCCTAAACCCTAAACCCTAAACCCCTCATTGTCAGAGAAAAGTGGATGACGCTTGTCCTTCGGCAGGGGTCTTCTTGGACTCCTTTCTTCTTCTTTTTGGGGCCTATCCGAGGAAGACGAAGTAGCAGGATGCAACTTGATGTAACCCCACCCCCCCCCCCCCCCCCCCCCAAAAAAAAAAAAAAAAAAACTGAACCCTAAACCCTAAACCCTAAGCCCCAAAAACAACCTGCACACTAAACCCCGATGTATCTCACTTCGGACCTGCTCTCACGCTAGCCCTCTCATTTTTCTGGCCCCCAGGAAATGGCTCACAGTGAGACGATCGCCCATATCATTTCCGATATCATAACACGATCAGCATGATATATCACAAGAATCCGTGGTGCCAATGATGGGGAAATAGGCCGCTCTCGACATCGGTGTCGGCAATGAAAGAACATCCTCGCAGCTGTCTAACACCCTCGGCCCGAGAAGATGTGCTGAACTCGCCCAGTGGCAAAAGGCCCAAGCACTAACGGGTGGGTGCTCGGTACAGGAGTGAACATCTTCGCCAAGGTGGTCCAGGTGTCGCCAGTGAGGGCCTGAACTTGAGGGGAGTTGTAGTCCCTCTTGCATGGGGGCGCCTTATTGTGCTTTTATGGCAAAGTCCCTAGGGCCTGGGGGAGTTTGTGTCCAACCCTGTCAAGTCCCCCCATTCCGCCGTTCCGAAGCCCCAAACAATTCTCCCTTCAAATCCGCCCCCCGCGTTACCGCGTCCCAAGGTGGCTCCCGACTTTGCTGAAGCCGGGCCCTTGATATTTCTGGGAGCGGTGTAGGGTTTGGGTTTCGGGTATATAGGGCTAATCTCCAAATCTCAGGCTGGGGATGCGAAGGGGGGGGGGGGGGGGGGGGGGGCACTGAGAAGCCTACATGTACGGTCAACTATGTGATCTGCATCTATAAGAAGTCCATTTGGCTGATGAAGAATCGGACTCTGAGTCCCTGAAATAGGACTCCCCTACAGTCGCCCCCCCCCCCCTCGGCCATAGCTATGTGCATGCAGGTAGGCAGGTACGTTGAGGCAGGTAATGAATGTAGTGTACGTAGCTAATGTATGTCTTTTGTAATGTATGTGATATATGTGATGTATGTAATGTATGTAATGTATGTAACGTATGTAGTATGGTACGGTCTGGCACAGCAGGCATTAGATGGGAGGTATGTATCATGTCCCGAAGCGTTCCCCAAAGCGACGTCCGGACCCCCATCTCCCAAGGGAGCATGTCGTAGAAAGCCCCTCAGAGGTAGCCCAAGCATGGTCCCTGGGTTTAGGGTTTAGGGTTCAGGGTTCAGGGCTGCTTATCCAAATCCGGAACGTTAAGCCCCTTGTGCTTCCTCGAGAGCAAGCCTAGGTGGTCGTGGGTGATGCCACAGGCAGAGTGACCTTTCGGGCCCGCGGCAGCCAGGCCGGGAAACAAGGGATGCCCGGACCCTGCCCTGATGTCAAGGATGCCTTCGGGGGTGGTCGTGGTTGAAGACTTGCAGTTTTGGGGTTCCAGGTTCCAGGTTTCAAGGTGCGAAATCCCGAGATCAGATTCTGGGCCGTCTGAGTGCATGGGGAACACAACCCGCTGCCTGAGGTAGAGATCTGCAAGCCGGGAAGCATCTTGCGGATTCAGAACGCTTTGGTTGCCGCCATGCCGCACAATGTCAGTTGTGTCACTTTGGGCTTCGGGGGCCGTGGCTGAACGCCACAAGGATGGTTGCTCCGTGGGGTAGGGTGAGCTTATCCCCTAGAGTGACTCATCCAATGGGGGTCGCCGATCTTTGGACTTAGCATCCCACGCACGTGTGAAACCTCTGTGTGTGTGTGTGTGGCGTGACCGTGTGTCATCACTGAGCAGAACTCCAGCTTCACCATAGGATAGCTCATGGAGGGCTGGTTTGTGTGGCAAGTCAATGAAATCTGGGGGCTACATTGTGGAGGGGTGGAGGGGGATCCTAAACCCTAAACCCTAAACCCTAAACCCTAAACCCTAAACCCTAAACCCTAAACCCTAAACCCTAAACCCCACTTGGGTTCCGAAGCTGAGACCAGGTCATGGTCAAAGGCTTCATTCGCGGGAGCCTCGAAAAACGGTGCGCTCACCATTGGGACCTTTGAGAACCCAGTGGCCCTCCCGTTCCGGGCCTTTGGCCCATCATTGCAAGGAAAGTGAGGGGTCTGAAGTCTGGTAGAGTTTAGGGTTTAGGGTTTAGGGTTTAGGGTTTAGGGTTTAGGGTTTAGGGTTTAGGGTTTCTAGCCCATCAGTTGATCATCCTCGGGATCACCTCCGCGCGGGAAGCTTGAGCTTGCATAGTCACAACGGCCCTGTGAATGGGGTTCAACTGGGCTCTGAAGCTTACCACCCTGAACTTCCTGAATAATCACCAGCCTCCCCATGAGAGGAGTATTCCTGTACTCCCCCCTGCAATTCACCCAATTTTTTCACCATAGGAATTGCCCATTACCTCACCGATGTTAGAGATTACTCCTATGCCCCCTTCATAGTTCACCCAATTCATCGCTACTATTCCCCATGACATAGGAAAAACCGATTGCCTCATCCATGAATTCCAAAGGTGGTATTACTATTCAAAACGGGCAGAGGTTCTCTCAGAGGTTTGCTAGATGTAGGGCTAAAGGTTATAGTCATCAGAAACCTATAATGCCAAAACCTTTCTTGCAATACGTGTATGTTATACTTGTGAGTGCAGAATCCGTTACCATTTAGCAAAGGAGTTGTTTCACTGTTTTTTATTATTACATTTCTGGTTGCTTACTGCTGCTATCTTCTACTTCGTCTTCATACTTATGTCAACTACCACCTTATCCTCCTGCCCACTAAATTTCATTAGATGCTTCTCAAGACATTCATCATTGAGCAGTCGCTGTCGTTTCCTGAGTGAACACAGGTTTTGGATGCGCAAACCGAGACCGGGAACCCCAAAGCACCGCACGGCCGACCATCCGGATGCCCTTGCAATAGGTATATATTCAGTTATTATTAATGTTACTATTACTATTACTATTAATACGAAATTATTGTTACTACTATTATTAGAAATTATTATTATTATTATTATCATTATTATGATTATGATTATGTTAAGAGCAGACAGAGACAGCGACGCAGGGTCGCCGTGAGAAAGGTTGCAGCTGGTTAGGCGATGTTGGCTCCGTCCATGTCTGGGAGTTGCGCACAGTCGGGGTACCCTTCTTGGGGTTCGTTATTCTGGGGACTTTGCCAGGACCGTGAATGTTATCCAGAAAGTTGATGAGGGCAACGCTTGATCCCCAGCATGGCCGTCCGCGTGCAAGTGGCGCTGATGAGTGGCAGATCAGTGGAAGTTGTGGCCGAACCCTCCATGACCCTGGATGAAGTAAGGCTGCGGGCACAGCATGGTCTGGGTGCAAAGAAGGGTGCCCTCTACAAAGCATCTGGAGAGTTGCTGCCAGGGGCCACGAGGGTTTCTCAAGCGTGTCTTCAGGATGGTGATGCTCTGCTGTTGCAGATCCTCCGGCCCATCCAGCATGTACGGAACTTTGCTGCGGAAGCTGAGATCCAGAGCGATGGCTCCGTGGTAACTTGGGGCGAGGCCGCGTGTGGAGGCGACAGCACTGCAGTTCAGAGGCAGCTGAAAAAGAATGTGCAACATGTCTATGCTACTTCGGCAGCATTTGCCGCCCTCCTGTTTGATGGGTCTGTTGTAGCCTGGGGCAATGGACGGGCAGGTGGCGACAGCAGCCAGGTCCAGTACCAGTTGAAGAATGTGCAGCAGATTTTCGCTACGAATTCTGCTTTTGCAGCTCTTCGGCATGATGGATCCGTTGTGACGTGGGGCCAGTCGCAAGTGGGTGGCGACAGCAGCGCCGTGCAGCCGGAGCTGAAGAATGTGCAGACTGTCTGCGCAACAACCAGCGCCTTTGCCGCTCTTCGAGGCGATGGATCTGTTGTGACCTGGGGCAGTGAAGCTTCTGCGGGAAGGCCTTCGAAGATCACAAATGTAAAGTCGGTCCATGCAACAAGTAGTGCATACGCAGCGCTGTTGCGCAATGGGTCTGTTGCTACCTGGGGGAATCCACAACTTGGCGGTTGCAGCCGTGCAGTGCAGAAAAAGCTCAAGAATGTTCAGCAAATCCATGCAACCCGCTCCTCGTTTGCGGCCTTGTTGGACGACGGATCTGTTGTGACCTGGGGAGACGACACGGAGACCGATTCCCAACAGCAGCCACAGCACGTCCAGCGCATCTATGCCAACAGCACAGCCTTCGCAGCTCTTCTGACTGATGGGTCTGCTGCAACTTGGGGTTGTCGCCTGAAGTACAACGAAGCGTTTGTTTCTCCAGACCAGCTGAACAACGTGCAGCAGATTGCTATGACTGACAGCGCGTTTGCAGCTTTGCGGCAGGATGGATCGGTCGTGACTTGGGGCCGTAAGGACTGCGGTGGTGACAGCCATGCTGTTGAAAGCATGTTGAGGAGCGTCAAGCAGATCTGTGCTACCTTCTCCGCGTTTGCAGCTCTTCGACACGATGGGTCTGTTGTCACCTGGGGTGATTGTGCCTACGGAGGCAGCAGCTGCTCTGTCCAAGAGAAGCTGAAAGGTGTTGGGGAGATTCGCAGCACTCCCTTGTCCTTCGAGGCTCATTTTGCCGATGGAACATGCGTGCGGTGGGGACGCGTGAGTGGCAGCCGCAAACGCTGCCGAGAGGAATAAACTAGTAAATGTATTGATTGTGACCACTTTGTTCAGCGTGCTTCCGGGCTCCAGCAATCACGCCTACTGCTGTGACGTCAGCAGGCTTGATGCAGGAGCTAAAGCTGATTGTGTCCACAATGATGATTCTTCACAAGACAGATCCGATGGCAAGGTCTATCAGCATCGCATCTGTTTGTCATATGTCTGGACCACAGGAACGTGCGAAAATCCAGTGTGCAGGAGCGTTGGCTGGTTGTAAGACCCAACATGGGCAAGGGTTCTGCTGACTGAGCCTCCCTAAACCCTAAACCCTTAACCCTAAACCCTAAACCCTAAACCCTAAACCCTAAACCCTAAACCCTAAACCCTTTTTTGGGTCACCTTCGCCGCGTTCCGAGGCCTGGAAGTGAACAAGTGGGGCGTGGCAAAGCCAGCCCCAGACCACGAGGACTTCGCAGTCGAGCCTCGGCTTCTTTTTGGGGGGGTTTAGGGTTTAGGGTTTGGGGTTTGGGGTTTAGGGTTTAGGGTTAGGGGTTTAGGGTTTAGGGTTTTTGGGGCGGTTAGGGGGGGGGGGGGGGGGGGGGGGGGGGGGGGAAAGGGTCGGGGGAGTTCTGCAGGAGTCCTTGATGCTTCGATGTGATGCGCGTGTTTTGATGATGTGGGGGGGGGCCTCTTGGTTCTCCTTGCAAGGGGCCCAACCCGAAACCCTCCACCTGGTTTGAAGCGACCCTGTGCTCGGCAGTAATTAGGGCTGAGGGTTTATCGTTTTGTAGGGTTGCGCATCCGAGGCTGAGCATGACATCAGTGCCGTGGAATATGAGTTGGCGGCATAGGCGTCGGAGCCTTAAGGGGCGTCCTCATTTGCAACTTCCGCGGCAAGAATTGCACGTTGTGAGAGCCATCTCCTCCCTACAAGGGAGTTGGCTTGAAGGCGACTATATCAAGACTCCCACATTAGTTTCTGACCAGAGCGGCCGAAAACGACGTAGAGGGTCCGGAGGTTCCCCCCCCAAAAAATAAAAAACAAAAGACCCTCAACCCTAAACTTTCCCTAAACCCTAAACCCCAAACCCTAAACCGGGGGGGGGGGGGGGGGGGGGGAAATTAAAGCCCAAACCCCAAACCCACAGTCCCAAAGAAACCCAAGGTCGCACGCTGCCCCTGCTGTGCGAGCTCTCGGAGGCCACCACAACATGCGGGCGGCATGCGCAACAGAGAGGGTCTAGGGCTTTAGGGCTTTAGGGCTCTAGGGCTCTAGGGCTTTAGGGCTTTAGGGTTTATGGAGCTTTAGGGTCTTGAGGAGTTTAGGTGAGAAGAGCCCCGCCACCAGTGCCATGTCTTTCAACACTGCACTGTCGTCGTCTTGTTCGCGACAGTGTGGTGGCGTGCAGAGCGATTTCTCAAATGTGTCATGTACACTCAAGGTGAAAAATTCTTGAAAATGTTGAAGCGCAGCGGAACAGAGCAGCAGCAATGTGACCCGACAGCATCATGCTCCGACAGGTCCGTTTGGAAACTGATGCCTTCATGTGCTCCGAACCGATTGCACAAGCACATGGGAACAGTATGAGCCTGAGACGCAGTCGTGGCCAACACTTCTCCCACCCCGGTGCACTCCACAACATCGCTCCCTCGCAGGACAGATGAGAGCTTAGAGCCGGATCATGGGAGCGCGCAAAATGAGCCGCGCTTGCTTGCTCCAGGTTTCGCGTACGGGGGATGCGGATGCCCGGGTGTCAGAGCACAGTTGGTGGCTTCTTCATTGAATGCGGGGATCGACCCAAGCCTGGCTGCTTGCTGTTTCAGAGGCAGAACAGGTTTCTACAGCATGACCCAGTTTCCTCTAGCAGCTTCTTCGGCTGTTTTTCGATTCTCAGGCTTTCCATAATTCTGTTCACGGAGCAAGCACGGTTTTTCTGCGAAGTACGCAGCTTTCTAGCTAAAAGGCCCGAGGAAAGCATTAATTGTTGCAAGCCTCCAAAAACTAAGGTTCAAACATGTCTGGGTAATCCCCTTTTATTAAACGTACCCCTAATATTGAAAACACTTTCCGGAAAATCCTGCCGAAACCCAAAACCCTCAAGCCAACCAACATCCTGAAGCTCCCTTCCCTCCCTTCCCTCCCAGCTGAGCTCTCTCTCTACGCGATCAGAGTTTAAGTCATTACTTAAACCCTCCAACCCCTGAAGCCTAGACGACCCTAAACCCGTGGGGACCCAAGCATGACATTTGGATACAAACACCCCCCTACATTAAGAACACATTGCGAGTTTCCATTGGCGGAGGGGGGGGGGGGGCGGTGCTATAATTTTTTTGTTAGTGGGCGGACGGGGGGGGGGGGGGGTGAACACAAAGGGAGCCCTGTTTTGAAACATGGGGTTTAGGGTTTAGGGGTAGTTCCTGCTCCGGCATCCCCAACTTTGACACTTTAAACGTCCCCAGCTTGGTGGTGGTTCGCCATTCTCTTAGGGCTGATCCCTTCCCCCGAATATTGAATGGGCCAACCCCCCCCCCCCCTCCCCCAATAGAAACTCGAAATGCGTTTTATATTAGGGGGATGTTGTCATCCAAATGTCATGTTTGGGTCCCCACGGGTTTAGGGTCTAGGCTTCAGGGGTTGGAGGGTTCAAGTAGTGACTTAAACCCTGATAGCGTAGAGAGAGAGCTCCACTCAGGAGGGAGGGCTGGGAGGGAAGGGAGGGCAGGGAACTTCAGGATGTTGGTTGGCTGGAGGGTTTTGGGAGCCCTGAACCCCCACCTATTTCGGAACAGGGTTTGAAAGGCGGGGTCGCTTTCGGGAGGATTTCCCGGAAAGTGTTTTATTATTTGAGTCAGGGGTGTTTAATAAAAGGGGGAAGCGGTTTCTCGAGATGCACAGATTCCTGGCTGCCCAGAGTCTTTTTCCGAGCTTTTTGCCCATTTGTTCTGCTTTCGCCATCTGGCTCAAGCTGTCTGGTTGCTTGCATCCGCTTTCTCTCAGTCCCTGTTCCGTCGTTTGCGCAGCTCTCAACAGGCTGGGGCTCGAGACGGAGGGGTTGGGACAAGGAGAGTCGCAGCAGCCGTTCAGCTCTCAGTTGGGGGACACCCCTCCTAAACGAGAGCCCCCTAGAACAAGCGCGAGGACCCCCTTGACTAGAAATCCCCCCCCCCCCCCCCCAAAAAAAAAAAAGGGGGACCCATAATTCTTGAGAATGATGCTCGCAAATCTATGCCCCCCTTTCACTTCGTGTACATCTAACAACAAGTCGGCAACCTCGTCACATCAGTCGAACTCTCTCAGCACGTTGCACTCCCTCCTTCTATGAGTCTGAAGCCCATGAAATAGGGGGGCGGGGGCTTGCTTCAACTTTGAAGAGCCGCCTTTCCGCAGGTCCATGTCCTACTTCCCATTCCTGCGAGTCGCCTTCCTGCTTCTCCTGGTGGGCGCCGGTTCCGTCCGCCACGCGGAAGTCGCACAGGCCCAGGAGGAGGCCCTGGATATTCCGCCGCCCGTTTCTCCGGGATACTTGGCAATATTTTTTTGGGTTCTATCTAACGCCTAGGGAACAGATACATTCATAGTTTTTGCTAGGGTTCCAAGTTCAGTATAGGTTTGTGTGGAGGAGGATGGAGAAGACGAAGACAGCCTTGCCCGTGAGGCGGGCTTCATCGTCCGCTGCTGGAATAAAAAGAGGAATCCAGGCCCTCAGTTTGCCAAGTGCATCAAGGACAAGATGGAAGACGAGTGGGATGGGTACTTTTTTGTCCTCGTCGCCGAGGGCCCCATCACGGGATTCGACACCAGGGCCCACACTTTTGCAAAGTTCCACTTTGGCAAATGGAGCATCCTGATTTGGAACATGTACAGGCTGGGCGAGTCCTGATTTGGACACTTCCATGCCGGGCCACCCCGATGAAGCCAGAGAAAAGCTTTCTGGTTACAGAGCCGTGCCCAAGCGCGGCCGAGGACCCTTTGCGACGCGGGCGAGATCAGGTTCCCCTTTCAGCGAACCCTAAACCTTAAACCCTAAACCCTAAACCCTAAACCTTAAACCCTAAACCCTAAACCCTTTTGCAGTCACATAGCTAGGGACAACTGAAGGGGCCCATGGGTTTATCATGCCGCGACCTCTCACTTCCCTCGTGTTGCTCACGCCCGTGCTGCGCAGCGTTTTGGCTTTGAGACACATGCCAGTCAGGCTTATGTTGTTTAGGGTTTAGGGTTTAGGGTTTAGGTTTGGCCTCAGCTATGAGTTTGAGAGCCCTGCCTAACACACATTCTCACGCAGATGACAACACGCGGACACTAGGCCATCGAACCACAAGAGGCTTAACAAGGCCCGCGATTCATCAAGCCGAGTAGCCCCGACACCTCAACCCCTGCAAGGGAACCCCAACACGCCAAGATTCGCAGATGAATCCCTCAGTCAATGAAGCCAGCTCAGCATAATCAGATAAATACATTGCGCTTCCGCCCGTGCTCCACACCTGTCCCCATCAATCGACGGAGGACTTTTCCAGGCGTGAGCTGGTGTAGACTCGTGTAGTATCCTGAGTTCGAAGTTCATCCGGTGCATGGAGGTTATGTTGTCTCTGTAAACCACCCATGTGGGGGTTTCCGAAATAAGAGGCACCTTATTGGGGGTCCTTATTGGATTGGAATACTATTATTTGTGGTCTACATTAGGCCCTATTTCCGTAAACCCCCATGTCAAGATTTTTCTCCAAGGGGGGCTCGCGGCTCAAGTCGCGACGGCTTTTGTTTGTTTGCTGAGCGCGAAGATCGAAGGCAACCATGACGCTGATTGCTCGCCGTGCTGCATGTCTGCGGCAGCTGCTCCGTAGTAGTAATCGCATGGCACGTACCAGGGAGCAGCTATGGTGCGCAGAAGATCTGTTGCATGCGTTGCATGTGCGTAGAATCTAGAACGGTGAACAATTCTGCTGAGAATAGCAGCGCAGACAAAGCCGAATAATGTTTGCGTGACGCTCATCACTTGCTCTATGTGTTGCCATGTTGCCGCAGCAAGCATCTTCGGGCCGGGCGCATCCGGGCCCTGGAAGTCTGCAGAGTCTGCAGCGCAGCAGACGTAGCGGTCTGCCGGCCTCAGGCGTGTCTTGGCCGATGCAGCACCTCACTCAGCTCATGACCCTAAACCCTAAACCCTAAACTATAAACCGCAAGGTCTTCATGTAAATTGACTCCCCACTCCTTGGACACTCCGCTGCGCCCAGGTGTAACCCTAAACCCTAAACCCTAAACCCTGAACCCTGAACCCTAAACCCTAAACCCTAAACCCTAAAAGTCACAGCATCGAAGGCTTTCAACCACTTGAGGGCTGAGCCCCAGGAGGAATTCTTGGTGCGTCTTACAGACTCTACCATCAGCAGAAGAAGAAACCCTAAACCCTAAACCCTATAACCCTAAACCCTAAACCCTAAACCCTAAACCCTAAACCCTAAACCCTAAACCCTAAAACCAGGTGTACGACGGTCGGGCATCGGCACGTGCCACAGGCGTGTGCAGAAGCACCAGCACAGCCACCCACCAAGAAGCCAGGCTTGATATCATCTTGATCTGTATCCCCCTTGGGCATCGTTTTTTATATATTGTGTACCGTTTAGGGTTTAGGGTTTAGGGTTTAGGGTTCAGGGTTTGTTGCTTCGGGGGGTGTCTGGGAGTTCTGGCTTTCCACTGTTTGGGGTTCTGGATGGTGCCCTTCCAGTGGGCGCCCCTGCAACCGCGCTGTGGGAGTCCCTGGGAGGTCCGGTTTGTGTGGCGTCGCAGCCGCAGCTGTCATCGTCGGCACAAGGCGCAGGATTCTGAAGAGGCATGTGCGCCGTGCAAGCACGGACCTAAGTGAACCTGTTGCCCTCGAGCATCTGCGTTGCTGCAAATCTGGATGAGCAGATCTGCCGCCACGAGGTTCGGAGGATGCGGCCGTGACAGGCACGAACGGCGTTGTTGAGGTGCCACAGGACCTGTACGAGTTGCTGGGTGTGAGCGCGGACTCTGATGCCGATCCCAAGCTTATCCAGTCCAAGCTTTGTCATGGAGTGGCTCTAGGAGGACGCGCGCATCTTCTCTTGTGAGTGCAAGAGCCAAGGACCAAATCAAGAAGGGCTACTATGAGAAAATGAAGGTTTGCCACCCCGACATCGCCGGTGATGATGGCCCCAGGGCCGCGGTTCCTGATAAAACATGTGTGAAAGTTTGCACCTTTTCCTGAGAAGCCACGCTTCACTTGAGGTGCGGAAGCCTGCGTTCTCCTCAACGAGGCCTACGATGTACTCTCAAACAAAGAGGAGAAGAAGGCACGAGACTGCACGCATGCAGTCGAATGTAGATGCTCCGTATCATGTGTGGCGGGCTCGCAGAGCTTGATGGCTTAGGTTTTAAGGTCCAATAAGAGGTCTACGGGGCATGACCAGGGATGTCATGTCTATATGAATGCAGGATGGGGCGGTGCAAAAAGCGTGCAAGGCGTGCAACTGCAAGGGGGCCCTTCTGGTACCGGGAGCCACATTGGAGTGGCACCCTGAATCCTCGAGTGGTGGAATGGGTGTGGGCGTGCGCGTGTGAGCATCAAATGGGGAAATGCCCTCGGCACGACGTGGCAGTCGGAGGGATCCTAAAATTCGCGCGAAATAGAACGAGGCCTGTCGTGCTTGGAGGTTCATGGGTACTCAGAATTGGGGTTCAAAGTACCCAAAAAAGGGTGAACAATTTAGTTAAAGATACTGATATCCCTACTTCGAACTACCCGTGAACCTCCATGTAGGGGCTGCAAGACCTCACGGCAGGCTTACGACATCGAGCTGGCGCAGACGAACGGCTCCAAGCAACTGGCCCGCGTCCCAGGTGCCGGCTGGTTTCCGCACGCTTTCGATGTTGAATGCAAGATGGTGTCCTCGTGCCCAGGTGATTTATGATGAGGACGTCTCCCCGACTTGGGCGCCGGGCTCGCGAAATGAATGCTGAAGCATGCCCTCGTCCGTTCACCCTGTGGCGCAGCTGCATCGAGTCGAATCTGTAATTAAGGACTGGACATCCAAAACAGGCAACAAGAAGACGACGCCCGGCTGTCACCTGGAGCACGTGCGACGGCACCCTGAACCCCCAAAGCCCACGTAAAAAACCCCCAGGTTCGTGCCTTCTCAGGAAGCCAGTCTACAATGGGCGTCCTTTGTCGCGGTCGCTCTACCACAAGGTGTCTGAGGAAGGAAAGGGCCCGAAGCACGACGCGGAAAAGTTCGTTGCACTCTCAGCACACGCTTGCTGAGGCTGCCTTGTGTGTGTTCAAAACAACAACCTACTCAGAGTATGTGTGTATATGATACATACAAAGTTACATGGTGCCCTTGTAGCTAGAAAACCCTCTCTTTTAGCCTTTCCGCGTGCACGAAATTCAGGTGTTTGTCGACGAGTGGACTTGCATCTCATGCCGCGCCTGCGGGGACCTCTGGGGGGGCAGTGGGATCTGCAGATGGTCATCGTCAAAGTCATGGCAGTTTAAAAAGTGAGAGCCCCCCCCCCCCCCCCCCCCGCGTAAGCATATGAACAGTCCTATGGGCCATGGTCATCGCCTTCTGGCCTCAGCCAGAGAATGGCCAGAGGAGTAGTTGGCAGTCGTCATCATCGTCCTCGTAGTAGTGTAGCCGTCCTCTTCATCCTAGCGCAGCTAGTACTTACTCTGCGCCCGACTGTTCTACCTCTTAAAATTGTGGTAAGCTATGGTAAGCCGAGGCTGTGAGGCCGCACCCAGCACTTTTTGCATCGATGCAGATGCTGGGCGCGCACGGGCTCCTTGGCTCAATGGTCAGCAGCATGTCCAGCCATTGCTGCGCAGCAGATGCGAGACGCTTGGGACCCTTATAGCGAGGTGTTCGCGCAGTGGGGCGATGGAGAGGATTATCTGGACGAAGCAGTGCCTTGGGGCAAAAGCCTCCCATCTGGACCCTTCTCCATCAGCCTCCTTTGATACTTGTCCCACAGCTCTCTGCAAGGTTCAGTCCTGCCCAGTGGATTGTATCTACTGGGTGAGTCGGGAGGAGTTGCAGGTCCTCGAATACGTGACACGCGACCGCCGCCTGGATGCATGCGCCTAAAAACAGCATCCCTGTTTCGCCCCATTGGCCCAGGTATGTTCGAAATCGGCAACCAACCGCCTTGCTCCATGACTGCTCGTCGCACCGGTGGAGGACTGTTTACCTGTGCAGCTTTTGTTAGGGTTTAGGGTTTCGGGTTTAGGGTTTAACGGGTTTAACGGATTCAAAGGGTTTAGGGTTTAGACTTGCCCTCACATTGACCTGCGCCTGGAAGTAACTGACAACCCCTTCGGCATGGCCGAGAAGTTCACTGCCAAGCAGGCAGAAGAGAAACGCCGCCAAGAGGCTTTGGCTGAAGGCTTGTGTGGAGGGGGGGTGGGGGGGTTTAGGGTTTAGGGTTTAGGGTTGAGGGTTGAGGGTTGAGGGTTGAGGGTTGAGGGTTGAGGGTTGAGGGTTTAGGGCGGCATATCAGTCTGCTTCGACGGATGATCCCGCTTTGGCTCTTGCTGTGAGGCTCGGTCAACGTCTCTGCCATGCAAGAGAGGCGGGGTGAGGGAATGAGGGTGGATCAAGCACTTCTGCCTGCTCGCGTCCGCTGTGTGTAGCAGGATCCGCGAACTTTTTGGCCGGATCAATGAGACCCTGCGAAGAACAGCTTGGGGTTAGGTGAGGCGAGAGGTAGCCCAAAACTTGCCCCTGACTAGTAACAGGCAATCGTCAATCGACAGCAGTGGCAATCACCACAGCAAGTTGTAGGTAGGGCGAGCTTGCTATGCGAGTTCAGGCCCCGTGTCCAAGGCTGTACAGTCTCATGTGCATGACTGGGTCATGTGGGGACTTGGACGGGCCGACTGTACATTTGCATTCTGCGGCTTGCTCGATTTTAATTACCAAGTTCAAGATGGCTCCACTGCAACCCCGCATGCAGCTAAGTGAAAGAGATGATACTCTTATGTGACTTATGTGCAAGAAAGATCCCTCAAAGATGGGACTCTGAAAGCTTGCCTGCATCAGTTTCAGAAGCCATCCGCGAGTCATCCCCGTTTTCCGCTCGTCTCCGACACGCGCTTTTGTGCTGGAGACTGGAGGCGTCCTGTCCTGTGTGGGTTGGCCCAAGTATGGCTTGATCCAGACCAAGACCCAGCGCCAGCACTACTGACGAAAACAACTTCCGACTATAGGCTCCACCTTTGGAGAAAAACCTGCGGAAAACGTGGGGCAACGTCCACCCAAACGCCCTGGCTACTGCACGATGCCGATATGCTTCGGATCCACCTTAGCCCATAAGAGCCTCTCTACTGTAAGAGAGTCCCTCCTGAGCCGTGGGGTCCAAGCCCCTAACATCAAAGCAGGCTTGAGCACTGAAGCATCTCACAGGATCGGGGCCTTAAGCAGATGTCTCTCGCATCGCCCAGAACAAGCCCTAGGAATTCCAAGGGTTTAGGGTTTAGGGTTCAGGGTTTAGGGTTTAGGGTTTAGGGTTTAGGGTTTTGGGGGGTTTGTAGATAGGGTCTAGGGCAAAGGGTTCGTCCTGGGCAAAAGGGGCAAAAGGGCTTAGGGCGATTTCTGAGGCAGAAAGAGTTCGCGGCGCCAGGTGGGGATGGGCTGCTGCCAGGCCAACTACGCACAGGCCTTCCCTTGCTTAGGGCTCGGGGCCTTTTTTCCCCCAAAACCCCTCAAACCCCCTAAAAAACCCCCTAAAAAAACGCTTTAAAAACCCCTGAATCCCCTAAACCCCTAAAGGCTTGTCCAGCCGTTTCAGTTTTGTTTTGTTGGGCGGGGGGGGGGGGGAGAGGCGGTGACTTTGGATCGAGGGCCCAATTTGCGCCTTCGTGGTTGCTAAATAGAGTTTCTCAATATCGTGTCTACAATGCTAGCGCGATACTCTAAACACACAAAACGAACAGTATCCCTCAACCCGAATCCGTAAACCCTATTCAAATAGCGAGTGCCGCACGGGGTGCGGGCCAGCGCCCTCCTTCGACTTCCCTCTCTGCGGATATAAAGTTTCGAAGAGCCTCCCCAATTATGAGAGCCCCCCGTCCTCCGCTCCCCCCTAAACCCTAAACCCTAAACCCTAAACCCTAAACCCTAAACCCTAAACCCTAAACCCTAAACCCTAAACCCTAAACCCTAAACCCTAAACCCTAAACCCTAAACCCTAAACCCTAAACCCTAAACCCAAGTTAAGTAAGGTTTTTGGGCAGGACTCTCGGGGGGAGGCTTGTTTTTTCCGGGTGCAGCTGCTGACTTGGCCACGTGTAGGGGCTCAAGCCCAAGTCCACACCGAACCGATCCATCCTCCCAGGCCTTAGAAGTAAGTCAGGGGCCCTCTCACCTCCGGAGCCTGTAGTGGTTTAGGGTTGGGGGTTTAGGGTTTAGGGTTTAGGGCATGAGTTTTGGGGAACTTTTTGGAAATGTCGGACGAGATTTTTCCCTTCTCTAGGAGCTCCCCTCCCCCCCCGGAGCTCCCCAGTAGACCCCCAGCCAAAGCAGCACCTCACATCGCGAGCACCATCATCAAGGGTCAGAGAGTCAGCTGTCCGTTTTCCCCACATGTGCGCAGCTCTTGGGTCTCATGTGGGCCCATCTTCTGCTGGCAGGCCGGGTGTCAAGGGCACAGCGCAGGTCTTTGAAGAAGATGGGGCTTACGAAATTTAGGGACCCCTAATTAGACCCAAGCAGTAGGATTCCCTTGTAATAAGGAATTGAAAGCTTAGGATTTTGATTTCGGAAATGTCCAGATGGAAGATGCGCCCAAGTAAGAACACAAAAAGTGCCACTTCGGCCAGACCCCGCGACTCTCGCCCCAACCGAAACTCGCCGAACCCATTCGCCAGAATGACTCAGAGAACAACTTCAAGATCCAGAGCGCCCCTGCACCTAAACCCTAAACCCTAAACCCTAAACCCTAATTCCGACCTGGAAACAAGGCTTGGGCTGCCTTGTCCTTGCCGACCCGGGCGACGATTGCTCTGAAGGCGCTTTTCCTTACAGCTCATAGAGGGTTTACAGGGCTCGGCCCCATTTTGCCACGGAGCCAGCGGGATTCTAGCCATTGCAGGGCTTCCCCAAAACAGTGTGACAGTGTGCCCGTTTGAGTCGACTCGGACTTAGACCGTGTGCCCGCGAGCATGAGAGTCGAAAGCCTACCCCTTCACCCTTCACCCTTCACCCTTCACCCTTCACCCTTCACCCTTCACCCTTCACCCTTCACCCTTCACCCTTCACCCTTCACCCTTCACCCTTCACCCTTCACCCTTCACCCTTCACCCTTCACCCTTCACCCTTTACCCTACCCTACTCGACGCTCCCCCCACCCTCCCCTACCCTTTACCCTTGCGACCCCCAAGACAAGATACAGATTAAGAGGTGACGTGCAGCTGCTGCAGCGAAAGCTGGAACTGGAATCCTGGGGATGCAAAAAGAGGGAAGAAGGGGGGAGGGGGGGGGGGACGGGCGGGTGTGGGCAAGAAACTCCGTTGTGTGTGAGGAATAGGGTTTAGGGTTAGGGGCGTTGGGGTTGCAATGTATCGTCTGCCTTCCAAGCTTCCGAGCACGGAACAGCTGTCTGCCTTTCAAGTTTCTCCAAGTCCCGATTATAGCTTCCGAAGCCAAGCCCGAGCCCCCCCAAATCCCCAGCACACCCCTGCACCTTGTCCTACGCGCCAAGGAGCCCCAGCAGGTCTCTTCGTTGCCGGCGGCGGAGCCTCTGAAATGGCTGCCGCCGGGCAACAAAACGAATGTCGGATCTTGACTGCTGAACCATCTGAAGTTGAAGATGGGCTTTCGAAACCTGAAGCACGCTGCTCAAGGTTGGCTTAGCTATGCAATTGAAACTTTTTGGGCAAACTGAGCGACATGGCAGTTCTTTATTTCTTGACGCCGAGGCATATACCAAAATGCGGCACCTCATTCCTGAGTCTTTGGCCAATTTTAGCCAATAGCCAAGGCTGCATCGCACCATCGGGAAGCTGCAGTGCTTTCGCTCAGGGTTCATGCTTCAATCTTCGTCGAAGCTTTGTAGGCTACAAGCCGCTGCAATGGAAAAATTTGCACCTCCGAACGCTGCGCATAACAGTGTATCGGTGAGCACGGGGGCACGGCTGCTGGGGGTTGTTGGTCGATGTTGGTCGTGTTGCTCCTGCGCTGCCCGTTCACCCCCAGGAATCCCTAAAAACTCCTATCCGACAACTCTTGTTTTCATCCAGAGTACAATCTGGAGTACCGGGGTTCTTCACAAGGGGTTGCTGTTTGCTGGACATGCCATTTCAAGTGCAATCAACTACCGCAGCACCTAACCCGTGCCGAGGAATGCCCTGATCCACCTACCAACGGTCTGCCCAGGTGTGAGCCGTGGCTGGCACAGTGTATGTGCTGCATGGTGCTATGGTGCGTTGTTGCTGGATTTCAGCGTTTGCTTCGGGTGTCTTCGGTTTCCCAGCGGTCCCCAAGCTGCTCGCTTAAGGAACGCATCGTATCGGGTGGACGCCGAAGTTTTGGGCACGCGCTTCGAGGACGAGTTCTTTCGCCAATGCACCGAGGTTGGCGGCTTGCGACGGTACTACTATCTGCTCAAGAACCCCCCAGAAAATCAACAATATTGTTCCTTATCACGGCAATATAGGGATGATTAGGTTCTTATGCAAATAGTAGGATATTTTCGAAAGGCCCATGCGATGCAGTGGCGGAAATTCACCGCGGTTCCAAGACCCCCTGAAGCCTCTGAAGGTGTGCAACACCAGCAAGTTCAATTGCGAGACCGGGCGGAAGAGCCATCACGTGCCTTCGGCACGGACTTGACCTGCCCTGGCCCTATCCGCCCAAACTGCAATGAGGCCTTTGAACTTCTCCCCCCCCCCCCCCACTGCATATTCCTCGAGCTATTCTGACGTTTGTATTGGCTTCAGGGAGTCAAGGGGCTCTGTTCCATTCCGCGTGCCAGCCACCTCACAACATCGTGTTTGCCAGACTTTCAAGCGCCCCCAGAAATCTCAAAGCGCGCCTGATCCTAAGCTAGGATTGGTACGTTCTTCGACACATCCGCACCAAAGACACCCCCCTCCCGGAACCTCTTGCACGGCCATAGGAGGGCATTGGATCGAGCTACAGCACCGAACTGCGAGGCCGCTTAGCCCGCTCCTGGTGTTGGGTTGGACTCAGGGTGCTTTAGGGAACATGTGCCAGGGTTTAGGGTTGCGGTTTTCTCCGTCTAGGAATGGGGTTGGGGTTGCACCTGCCCTGCTTTGCAGGTCACCTGGTGACGATGCTCAGGGAACCGAGCCAGCGAGTCCTCTCAGCGCGTCCGGGCATAAAGTAGCCCCCCGAAGCTGGCAATGTGCCATGTTCCCATTTCTGTATGGCTTTCATGTACTGTGACCACAATGAGAATATTGGATGTTTGGGGGGAGTGGGGGGAGCCAAGATCTTTTCTAGCAAGAGAGGTTTAAAGGCTGAGGGCTCTTGACCACCGCGAACGAAGGCAAAAGAAGTTCGTGTTGCACGACAAGGGTGTAGGTAAGCACGTAGAATGCATCTGCCGCCTCCTAAACCCTAAACCCTAAACCCTAAACCCTAAACCCTGCTGTTCTGAGAACATTTGCTGGAAGGGCGGGATGGCCAGGGCTGGCCCCTTGAACACCTTCAATGAACCTCCCCGAAGCCAT